GGGGGTCCAACACTGAGCCCACCAGTGGCTGAAGGTGGTGCAGGATGAGCCTTTCCATGGTCTTCATCAGATGAGAAGTCAAGGCAACAGGCCTGAAGTGGTTGGGCTCTGGGAACCTGGGGGGTGGGAGAGGTGATAAGTGGGCCATTGTCAAATCTGTTAAAAAACAGATTCAAGTCGTTAGCCCACCCCCGGCCAGCAGACACTGTGGCTCCTCCATTGTCCTGGAAGTGTCCAGAGATTTGTTTCATGTTCCTCCAGACTTCTCTGACGTTTTTCTGTTGGAGTTGGTTTTCCATCTTCCTCCTGAAGCACTCCTTGCCTTTTCGGATCTTGTATTTAAGATCCTTTTGGACTTTCTTAAGTTCCTCCTTGTCTCCCGACCTGAAAGCACTCTTCTTCTTGTTCAGCAGGGCCTTCAGTTCTGGGGTGACCCACGGTTTATTGTTTGAGAAACACTGTATCTTTATGGTAGGCACGTTTAGCACTCAAATGGGCAGTGACTGAAAAGTTTCACGATTATTTGTATGGTGGTCAGTTCACTGTAGTTACAGATAGTAACCCACTCACATACATATTGACCTCTGCTAAGTTAGATGCCACTGGCTATAGGTGGCTTGCCGCTTTATATAACTACAACTTTAAGTTACAGTATAGAGCGGGCAAGCACAACCTAGACGCAGATGGGTTGTCTAGGCGTCCTCATGGAGAACTCATAAATGATGTCCAGTCCAGGAAAGAGCAGGAGCGTGTAAGCCAATTTGTAGAGCGTCACCTAGCTGACACTGACACCATAAAGCTTGTAGATAGTGATGTTGTCCAAGCAATCTGTCGAAATCACCTTGTAAAAGTCAGTGATGATTGTCAGGATAGTGGTGTTACACTTGTAGAATCGCTTACCCTCTCAGCTGACGCGATTCCAGACATCTATGTTTCAGAAGAACATCATGGCTTACCAACCATCCCTGCCTTGTCCCAATCAGAAATTAAGGATAAGCAGAGAGCAGACTCGACAATCAGCCAAGTTATCAAACAAATCGAACATGGTCAGACACCTCCACCGACTGTTAGAAAAGAACTCCCAGATCTCCCTCTTTTGCTTAGGGAACTCAATCGGTTGGAAATGCACAATGAGGTGTTATACAGAAAAAGACAAGATGGAGACCAGGTGACCCACCAGCTTGTTCTTCCTGAGGAGCTCAGAGCTTCAGTGCTCCAAAGTTTGCATGATGACATGGGCCACTTAGGTATCGACAGAACCCTTGATCTGGTCAGAACCCGATTCTATTGGCCACGCATGGCGACACAGGTTGAGCAGAAAGTGAAAACATGTGATCGTTGTATACGGAGAAAGAGTCCCCCTGAAAAAGCAGCTAGACTGGTCAACATAACAACAACCAGACCTTTAGAACTCGTCTGTATGGATTTTCTCAGTCTAGAACCAGACAGTAGCAACACACGGGATATCCTTGTGATAACCGATCATTTCACTAAGTTTGCCCTCGCGTTGCCCACCTCTAATCAAAAGTCACGAACGGTCGCCAGGTGCCTGTGGGACCAGTTCATTGTCCACTACGGCATACCTGAGCGCCTGCACAGCGATCAGGGTCCTGATTTCGAGGCAAAACTGATAAAAGATCTGTGTGAGATCTCTGGGATAAAGAAAATAAGAACTACCCCGTACCACCCACGTGGTAACCCTACTGAACGATTTAATAGAACACTACTTAGTATGTTAGGAACACTAGAATCCAAACAAAAGTCTCACTGGAAAGACTATGTTATGGGCGACCGTGGCTCAGGGGGTTAGGAATCGCATCTGTAACCGGAAGGTCGCCAGTTCGATCCCCGGGCTCTCTGTCCTGGTCGTTGTGTCCCTGGGCAAGACACTTTACCCTACTTGCCTACTGGTGTTGGCCAGAGGGGCCGATGGCGCGATATGGCAGCCTCGCTTCTGTCAGTCTGCCCCAGGGCAGCTGTGGCTACAACTGTAGCTGCCTCCACCAGTGTGTGAATGAATAGTGGTATTGTAAAGCGCTTTGGGTGCCTTGAAAAGCGCTATATAAATCCAATCCATTATTATTATTATGCCATTAGTACATGCGTACAATTGCACCCGTAGTGATGCAACAGGGTTTACACCCTACGAGTTGATGTTTGGCAGAAAACCCAGATTAGCTGTTGATCTTGCATATGGACTTCCTCTCAGCAAAGATCAAAAAGTGACACATTCGCAATATGTTGAAAGTCTCAAGAAACGGCTAGAGGAAAGCTATAGGTTAGCTTCTCAAACCGCACAAAAAGTGGCAGACAAGAATAAGGTCAGATTTGATCGCAAAATAACTGTTTCAGAACTTGAACCTGGGGACCAGGTTTTAGTTAGAAACGTGCGGCTGCATGGCAAGCATAAACTTGCTGATAAATGGGAGGCAGACATCCATGTGGTAGTCAAACGTGCAGGCGACCTACCCGTTTATACTGTTAAACCCGAGTCCAAGCAAGGTCCCTCCCGAACTTTACACAGAGACCTGTTGCTTCCCTGCAGTTTCCTCCCGGTTGCCACTGCAGACACATCTGAGCCACAGCAGGTTCACCGTCCTAAAACACGTCAAACTGTTGTCACAGAAAGCAATGAGGATGAAGGATCAATGGAACTTGACAATGAACTTTTCATTCAATGGGTTGATGATTCCCCATGTGAAGAAATAACCAGATTTACTACTGTACATGAATATCCAAAACCTTCTCATGAACCAGAGATTACAAACTTAACTGATTGTGACCTTTCTGAAACTGCTAGCAACAAGGAGCCAAATATGGATAAAAATGCAAGCAAAGACGAACTTACCAATCATGTGCTTGTTGAAAACTTACCCGATGGAGATGAGATTGGAATTGACAATCCTGTGGACAATGGAACGGGAACCGTATTGGATGAATCACCTGAAGATTTGGTTAAAGAACCAGGAAACCAGCCTGTTAACTCACCTGATGAGATGGACAGTGGTGATCCCATTACAACACAACCAGTAAGACAGTCAACAAGAATCAGACATCCACCTAAAAGACTTGATTATCCTGATTTAGGAAACCCTCTAGTTACTGTTGTGAAATCACTTTTCCAGGGTTTGAGCATAGCCTTTTCTGAGTCCCTAAACAGTACAGAGGGACAGTACTGGCTACACATGCAACGAGACGTGCATGACATTTAGCTGGGGAGAGTGTAACCCAGTAGAGAAAACTGCCTTTGTTATTTTTTTCTTGTTTTCGCTTTATTTGTATAAATGTATTTTCATTCTTTTATTTTGAAAAGAAACATTTATTTTGAAAAAAGGAAGTGTGATCCTCTAGCAAACTTTATTTTTCTGTTGCCGGATCACAAGGGATAAATGCCTTTTTCATTGGTTGAAGGTGGTTTTAGCCCCGTCTTCCGAAATACCAGACCATCATTCACATGAGCTAGATCTTTTCGCACGTGGAAGTAGATGAGACAGGCCACGGATAGCTCGTGCGGAATTTTCTAACATTTTGGTGAGTTGAGCCCATGGGTTTGAAAGGTTAATAATGTGTTAGTCTGTTGCTAAAAGTTGTTTCTTCTGTTCATACCGATATGCGAGTGGTAATTTGCTGTTTTACATGGTTAAAATAATTTCATGTATAACGAGAGATATATTCAAAGCATGCATGTAATGTATTACTGTGGTAATGTGAAAGAAATGTGAAAAGAGATAAAGAACTAAAGCTATAGCTGTGATACAAGAGAAGAAACGGAGCTGGCTGTGTACAATAATGTTAATATTGTTGTGCAGGCTAGGTTTTTTTTCCCTTGTCCGTGTGGAAGGAACTAAGATTTTGGATTCCAATGGATTCTCTCCGGATGGAGATGGCGAGCCTGAGCCCAGACTGAACTTTGCAGAGGAACTTACTCTTCTTCCTCGACGGAGACTCCCAAGTGGTAACGCACAAACCACAATGAAAGAGAAAAAGAACTAGACTAAGAGTTTTTGACTTGACAAATGACCAAAGACAAAAAGACAATTGAATATTGAGCTCAAACAACTATTTTTGGGGTTATTTTTGTTTGCCGGCTTATTCTTATTATAGTTATTGTGATTATCACTACTACTGTCAATGTTGAATTTGTGTCTTGTTTATTTCATTTTTGTGCAAAATAATAACTGTTGCTGCTCAAATTCCTGTCTCCAGCCATTTCATTCTGTATTCGCCTCGCTTTCTATTGTAGCCCTGCCGAACCTAGCAACTGGTCCGTAGTTTGGCTGTCCTAAACTATTTAAAATGAGTCAGTGGTTACACACAGTGTTCTCAACACAGTTTAAAGGGTTAAGTCGTAATGTAAAGTATTACTGTATGTCCAATCTGACAGATTTTAAATTGTCGATCATGTCGATCATACTCCTTATTCAGCACTGCTATAGCTTTCCTGCACAGTTGCAAATTATTACTACTAGCAGAGTTATGCTCGCTTTTAGATTTATAAACAGAGAATTGTATTAACTTAATTACACACCAGACCTCACAGAAATGACCTCAACATATCTCATTTGTGGCACAGAGCACAGGAAGTTAAAAGAAGCAGATGTCTTTTTTCTTTTTTACTCAGAAAATATTATTAAATTGTGAGTTCCTACCACAGCTGCATCTTTTGTGGTTAGCATAATATAACACACAAACATGGTTGTGATCACAGTCCAGTCAGAAGGGCCTGAGTTTAAAAAATAACGCTTCCAAGGTGGAGATGGAGGTCGATGATCCCCTGTGGCACCCCCATACAGGGGTGTGCTGTCCTAATGTGGTTTCCAGTCTATGTGCAAAGGTGCTAAAGTTCTGTGATTATGAAAGCAGCCAATCAGGGGAGATCGATGTACTGGCACTCATAAATGTTGCAGGCAGGGCTGTCATAGCCGGAGAGATGTGCTCACCTGGGGATGTTCCTGCCTCCTTGCAGATGTAATGCTGACACTGGAAATGAAGAGCTGTTCAACTTGACATGTTCAACTCCACTTACACAGTCTGGCTTTCTTTCTCTGAGGCTAATGTACAAGCCAGACCTTACACATAGTGCGACATACAGTACAGGTGGAAAAAACTTTTTTTTTCCCTGCAGAGAGAGCATGATTTATTCTGGAGTGGAGTTTTGAAGTGCTCCAAATGTTATTTCTGCTGAGTTATCACCTACAGCCATCAGCACAGATATTTTATCAGCTAGGCACTCTGCACACTATAAACTTAGTATCCATTTTACAAGAGCAAGATGTATGTTATGCTAACACATGGCATGAAACATATGCTGTGCTAGGCATTCCAGCGCCTTCTGACTTCACTTTGTGGGCTCTCTTGCTCCACATTTGACTTTAAATCACGCAGCAGCCCTTCTGCTTATTCCCATTTTATTTTCTGACTCTGAACTTTTGGGTTGTGACAAATTGATGGGGTTGCAGCGAAAGGCTTTCACAACGCTATAAGTTACGTCAGGCGAAGGCCTTAAAACAATAGGCCATTAGCATACTTTCCCCCCCATCCATCAGCAAGCAGTGCCAGCCTCTGGCAGCCATTCATCACATCCGTGCCACAGAGCAAGCAGGCCTCAGGCCCCCGCTGCACGGCTTACAAAGAGATGTATGAATACAACATGAACACGGCGGTCTTGGATAAAGACTAATATAGCCCAATTCAACTGTGACCATGAAGATGAATGTGTTAAAAGAAAACAGTGACAATATGACTGATAGTTTTAATACCAGCAGTGAATAAGCAATTTGTGTTGAGGTTAGCTTAGCGTGTTTATTTTCATGAACTGTGCTACAGTAGCACCAGTAAAAGCAGCGCCGTGGCTTCCCCCGGGCCATAAAGTCTTGAGAGGCTCCGTCAGGCTGCTCTGATGAACCGTTCGATGCAGATTAAGTTTCTTTGTGCTGGAGCCCAGTTTGCTTTGGTTTGGGACTCTGAGCCAGCAGCCGCTTGAGCTCCTGTCCATTAAGCCAACTCTGGGGAGAGACTAAAAATTAACCTTAATGGACACTTTTCTCTCTGAATACTAACTAGGGGCTCTTTACTAAGTAGTGCTGTGTCTTTCCTACTGTCTTTTTGGCTACTCTTACTTATTTATTTCACCACTCAGGAGTTAATGTGTGAGAGTCACAGTGCTGACAGACACCCTAAATGAGTGTAGCGGCTCTGCTGAGGCCGTTCTTTCACAACCTTGCCTCTCCCGATCATCCCTCTTTTTCTGGCGAGCAGCACTCCATAAATGCCAATTACCAAAAATTTAAAGCCAATTAGAGTTGCTTTGTGCTCAGTAAATCTGATTATTAAAAGCCATGTACATCTTCCATGCAATCATCGTTCGATTCTGTACTACAGACTCCCATGCCAAATGTACCAGTCTGCCATCCACGCCAACTATTGCTTCACTACCCTCGGCCGCTCTCCCCTTCTAATCTGACTATAATGACATTTATGTAAGGCAATGAACGGTGCTGTGACACACTTTTTCAAGGCTCCACCACCCACCTCACACATCGCCGACGTGTTTATGACTCCTGGGTGTAATATTTCCTTCATTTGCATAATGACGTCCCCTGTTTATAATAAACCCGTGCATCCATCTCACTAAGGCCCATTGAACAAACAGTGGATTTGTGCAAAATTAGAATGCAAATGGAATGTAATACAGTTGCACTACCAGTAAACCAATAAACTGCTTGACCCCCCAACCCCCTTTCCCTTAGCACCTCAAAGCAATATGCACCTCAGTCAAACACCTACACCACACGTTAAGCAGCAAAGATGCTATCAATCAAATTTCTGGGATAGAATTTTTTGCTGATGAGGCTGTAAGCAGGTGACATTAAATCTGCAGGTTAAACTGTGATTTGACATTGTTGTTGAATGGGTGATGTGACCCAAGGTGGTGGATGACTTGTTTCGGGGATAAAAACCCTGCCTGTCTCTGGTAGTCTTTCATAACTAAACCAAAAGATGAATTTATCATGTGGATGAATAATCCATCTTAAATTTGCCTCTCAGAGGACCAGTGAAGCCCCTGACCATTCAAGGACACTCCTTTTTGGCTAAGGATCACAGTCTATCACTAAATATGGGCAATGTTGTAATATATTCATACTTTAATTACAATGCACACAGGAGACATATTTTTAAGTATGGCTGCTGCAGTTTTGATAATGCTTCATCAAATGCTGCCGCGAAATAAGAACACTTTTGATTATATAAAGAAAATCGTATTCCCTCATGAAATATTAATGCCACTGTTCTATCTTTGTCCCTTTAGCTGGCTTTGAATATCAACTTTTTGGCACTCAGGCCATGATAGTATGCACTACAGGGCCTACTCCCTCTCCTCCAACGGCATTCAAATTAGATTACTGGCAGGATAAATTCGACCGGGTGCGTAATGAAATGCGCTGTGACAAATGCTGACTCAGGTGGCCACAAGCAAATCAAGACATTGCAGTTCAAACCCAACGCTCTTCTTTTATTCTATTTTTCTTTCTTTGCCAGCGTACTCTGAAGCTGCCTGCTTATGGGAATGAGAATGCAGCAGTCTGATTGCTTTGCGTTGGGCCCACTCTGGCCATTTAGCGTTCTTGCTACCTAAAACTTTTTTTGCACACTGTCAACTTCTACCTTCTTCTGAGGGAAGAACACCTCGGGGAAGGTTTGTCACAGCAAGAATTTGTTGAAGTTTGGCACACGGAGCCAGAAAGTATCCCTGAAACAACAATGTAATATAAAAATCTGAGATGTTGAAGAAAAAATTCTGAACCCTTGCCCATTGTAAAATTTAGTAAGTTCATGAAGCTGCAGAGATATGTATGCAAAACACAAAAGACCGTTGGCGGAACTGAGGCCATCTGTCTTAAAATGATAGGGGTCTTACATTTGATGCTCCTATTCATTTAAATATTGAAACAATAATAGAGATGTTTCAAGCAAATAAAATTCAGTTTTCAGTTTTCATTTATATAGCGCCATCCCACTAAACATTGGACGTTGGATAGACATGCAGATCTGGTTTATACTGGGTCCATCAACAATTCTGAACATCTATAAGCCGTCAAAACTAGATCTACAATCGTCCAACCATGACCCAACTTGGATATCATTTTGACGTTCAACATTTGAGCTTTGACTGGGTAATTTTTTTGGATGTCATGTGGACGTCTATAACAGGTGCAGAAAACACACGATTAATAAATCTAATATATATTTTGTTTTTTAACCAATATCAAGATTGCTGTTATCAAAATGATAAATACAGATTAGTTTTTGTTTTGTTTGTTATTTACATTTTCCTGTTTTTCTTTAACAGGCTTATTTATTTCAAGTAATCGTCTTCTTTGTGTGTATCCAGGTTAAACTGGCCATTTATTAAAATGTGTTCAAATATTAAAAACATTGAAATTGATTTTAAAATGTTAAATAGTAATGGTTAAAATATTTACAAACATATTGGAATTCCCTTTAAAACAGAATAATAGAATAAAATAATAATAAATAATAAAATACCAAATTTCCCCTTGTGGGACAATTAAAGGTTTATTCTATTCTATTCTAAAAGGAGTACCATGTGTTTAATAATCTTAAAAGAGTATTTGCATTATATATGGTTCATTTTTTACAAGTTTCCTGTTTTTTTTGAAGAGCTCATGATTTTAGGAGAAAGTGAACAGGGTGGTGATTAGCAGGCAGGTGGACTGAGAGAGGTTGCGATGGAAAGTACGAGAAGTTTGTGCAAGTGTGTATGCATGAACTGGACTATCTGCTCATCTTTATCGATACGCTGAGTCTGTGAGAAGCTGGAGACATTTGTGCTCCAAATTAACCGTGCAACTGCTCACTTTTGTTTCAGCATCAGGAGCCTGCACCATGTTTGATATGTCTACTAGTCACTCTGCATTCTTTCACATATAACTGTTTCTGTACAGAAAACATGCCCTGCACCCTCTGGAAACATGGGACTACAGAGCCTATAGACTCATTTTAGACATCATTTTTATACTGCTTCTAAGTTTGACATATCACACCTGGACCATAAA